CAAGCTTTAATTCAAAGTGAAGTTCTAAATTTTGGAAATTTTGCCTGAAATCTGTAAACCATGGGGTTGCTTTCCCAATCAAGATGTGGATATCCAAACGAGCATTTATCATAGTAGAACGTAAACCATTTTCAATTAGTCTCATTGAACAGGGGAGGATCCAGAATATTTCAAACAGGGGGAGGGGCTTTGTATTCTTTATCTTTCTTTTTTTGCACTGAAATTTTAAAAAATAGTGTCAAAACGCTGTTTTGACACTTGACACAATTCTGCTGACTTACGTTCCAATGGATGTTTGAAGGTAATTAATTCACGGTGAAGAATATCTGTTGGCTTAAATCATGGGCTTAATTCAATATGAAAAGTAATATATACGGTAGTCGTATAACTTACAATAAAACAGCATGAGAATTTATGTTAGTATATTATTATTATTATTGTGATGAAAAGTTAACACAAACAGTACACAAATAGGTCAATGAAGGCGATATGTTTGCTAAACGAACAGACATGTAAAAATATATATTTTTTCCCCCCGATGGAATGTACTCCGACGGGGGGGGGGCTATAGCCCCCTCAGCACCCGTCTGCCGCCAACACTGGTCTTTAATTAAAGGGAAACCTGCATAATGAATTTCATGATGAAAAACAATTCCACCCCCTAAGCCTGATAATGGACTTTATGTAGAGCATCTTGTGTTTAGGTTTGTCTTGTGGGAATACCACTTTGAAGAGTGAATAAGTTCACTGTTTAGTTTGGCAAATTCTTGTCCTTCCTATTAGATGGATTAATTTCTTACCTGTCTTGTTGCAAGTGTTTTTTTCACAAAATTTACTTCTTCTTGTACCTCTACAAACGTTACTAGGATATTGCTAGTGAGCTTACGCATCATTGTCTAAATGATAATAATAAATAAACATTTTAAAAAACAAAAATTATAATAAAATTTAATATATAATAATAATTAAAAAATAATAATATTCATATAATTATTTTAACAAAAAATAGTATAAAATAAAAATAATAAAAAGGAACAAGAAGAATATTATTAAATATGGAGTCATTGATGTGGCAAATCCTGATAAAAATGTAATCATCTTGAGCTTTCTGATCCACTCATGTTACTCGCTTTAGTTGTGAGGACCAACAGTGGAAAGTCGTACAAATCATCAAAAAAATAACTACCATCAAATGTAACGTTTTTATAGAATCAAGATCCATTTCTTCAATACCTTGAGTCTGTCGATAATCTCAGATGGGCTGTACGACGCGAGATTATGCTGCGTAGGAGGAATAATAACAAGCTTCTGTTTTTGATTGTCTTTACTTAATGACTTTGTCATCTTGGATAAAGTTGATGATAGCTCGGCATGCATTGCACCTATTAATGAAAATCAGTACACAGTAAATTTTTAGCTCCGATAATAAGCTCTAGGAGTACCATGATGATTGACTAATTAATTAATTAATTAAGTAACAGATTTTTTTTGTGTGATGTGTGCCACCAATATAAAGGACCCTGCTGATTGATTAATTAATCAAAAGATCTTTTTTTTGTGAAGTGGGCCACCAATACCAAGGACTGTTTCATACTACCGTTACCACTAATAGGACACGTTGTATAGATGATTCATAGGTCGTGAGTTTGATTCGCGTCTTGGTATTAAATTTTTTTATTTTATTTTATTTTATTTATTTATTTTTTAAAATTTAAAGACATCCCCCATCGGAGCTTTTGAGATTACAAGAACTTGTTACGGCGGAGAGGAATGCAGGCAATGGTAAAGTTCTACTGATCTTCCTAATCCCTAAATACAATGTATTAAAAATATATTATATAATTCACCTGGTATTTGTGTACTTATCCATTTCATGACTCTTGTAGTCGCCAATCTGATTGTTACCTTGGTAACCACCTCCATTACTTGTTCCATCATGTCACTAGGCAACAGAATTTTGAGAGCTAGGGGGCAATGTTGCTCAATGAATCTGTTGGATAATTTGAATTTTACAGCAAATCATAAGGTATAGAATAACGGCTGACAATGACAACAATTATAATTATGACAATACATTAAAATCTCTCTCCCTTTGCATACTCTAAAGGCAAAAATACCCAAATATGTCTTGGACAGGCCTGATCGACCCTTTATAAAAAACAAACTAGGGTCGGAGTTTACAGGTACAGTACTTATTTATTTTTGAAGAAAAATACATATATACTGTATA